TGATTAAGTTAATTTAAGTTGGTTGAAATTAAGAGGAGTGGATTAATATAAAAAATGGACCTGGTTATTGATTTTAAAGGATTTGTTGAGAATTTTATTAACCTACTTAGAAAATTCTAGAGTTTGAGAGAATTAATGGGTTTTAAGAAATTATCCGGATGTGTTAATTAAGGGGTCAAAATTTGACTTTTATAATTAGAGGAAAATTTGAGGGTTTTAGATTTTTAACAAATACTAAACCTTATTATGAGTTGTTCGACAGGTGGTACATTCAATTTGGAGTTTACCATGAAAAGTTATGATTTGTTGAAGTTTTGATCCACTTTTAACATGGAGTTGACCAAAATGTTGACTTTTTAATTTTGACTAGATTTTGGGGGTTTAACATTTTTTGAAATACTAGATTTTAATTAGAGTCATTAGCCACTGAGTTTGATTGATTTGGAATTTTCTACAATTAGTTATGAATTTTGGAAGTTTGGGTATTTATTGGAATTATTTAATTGTTTCAATTAAGGGCCCTTTTAATGATTTGAACCCAAATGAGTGCCAAACTTCTTGAAATCAACTCCAAAGATAAAAAATGATTGAAGGAGAGATCAGCAAGTGTTTAAGGATATTTTGGGATTTTTAATAAATTTTAATTAATTAAAATTGATTGAATTAACATTGATTTTGATTAAAATTAAATTAAAATGGATTTTACTATCAAATTAAAGGAATATCAATTTTCAATGATTAACAATTGAAATATGGCTGATTAGAGGTATTATGGGTATTTTTTGGATTTAATCTTAATTTATGATGATTTATTGAATTTTCTAAGTCCTTAAAGGGGCTGAAATTTGACATTCTCAATTTTCTAACCTAATGACCTCCAAATTAAGTAAAATTGAAACCTAAGGTATCTGATGTCCCTAAGTTTACTATGTTCAAGTTTCACCCCAATTGGGTGTGTGTACAATCCCTTATAAATTTTTGAAGTTTTCTAGATATTTCCTTAATAATTTTTCCTAGGTATATCTACTACTCAAATAGGCTTGAAACTTGGTGTGTCTAACCTAGGTACATATGCATTCACATCACAGAAATTTTGCAGCAAAATGCAGAAAATTTACGGTGCTATGAATTTTCAAAATTAAGGATCCAAAATGGACCCTTTATATTAAACATTCACATCATAGAAATCTATTAAGTATCTGACCCTAGAAGTTTTATTGAACATGACTAAGATACTCAATAATCATCCACCAAAATTTGGACTTCATTTGATCATTAGATTGTGAGAAAAATGTAAACAATGAAATTCAAATAAACTCAAATATTTCACAATACATAAATCAAATCAATACAATTTTAATTTTAATAAATACTAAATTAGATTATCTTTCCAAGGAGTCCAAAAACACCCCATTTGGTGGAAAATTCCATTGTCTGTAAATTTTGGAAGATTTGGAGCATTTAAAGCATTTTTTATTCAGATTTGGGTCAAATCAGCTGACGGTGACGTGGCTACATGGCATGATGCCACGTGTCAGATCCCGGATGGACCCACATTCGACCCAGAGAAGGACCGCATGGTTTGGGGGCGACGTGGCCAATTCTAGGTCGTCCAATCGCATTAAAGGCTTGGTCGGATGGCTCCTGTTGAACAAGAGTTAAAAAATTTTAAATGCCCATATCTTTCAAAATACCTGACGAAATTGCACGAAATTTGAATTACAGCTAGAGAAAAATATGATCTTGCAATGCCTGGGGTTTGGAGGCTCTATTCATTGCTAAATTGCTATAGTTTCAAATTGAAATTTAAAATTAAAATGAGCATAACATACAATCCAACTATCATATTTTTGCAATTTTTTGCCTGTTGGAAAGCTGCAGTGATCCTCTACAACTTTACTGAAGACTCCAAAAGTTGGATCTTGCTGAATCTAAAGTTATATTTGAAACTCCTGTTTCTCTCTCAAGAATGCTATCTCCTCACTAAAATTGTGATTTGAGGCTTGGAAACGGTTGAGAAAAGATTTAGAAGGCCTTGAGGAGTGCTGAAATGTGTGGGAGGAGCTCTTGGAAGGTTGGGGGATGCTAGAGTTTGGAGCTTTTGATGATATGAGAGGGAATGATGAAGAAGCCTCATTTAGGTCAAGTTTTCATCCACTTTACCTTTGGATTTTGAATTGGATGGTTGAAATTTGATTTGGAGTAGTTTTGGATGAGTGCCAAGTGCCCCCTATGCTTCCCAAAGCTAGAGAATAGGATTGGTGGTGAGTGTGACTTCTCTTTGTCCATGAGAAGAGGGGATCATACCTTTTTCCCCATTTGGATGAACCAATGCCAAGCCTTGTTTAAGGGGCTGGTTTAGGCTCTATTAGGGGAGGAAATGAGTCACATCACATCATGTTTGAGCAGGTTCTAGACTAAGCCATGGATTTCCAAGGTGGCTTGATGATGTAGCCAAGAGTTTGTGGTCAAGGATTTGATGTTTTGAGCAAATACATGAAGTTGGAGAGGGTTTTGACCTCTCCAAATGAGTTGACCAAGTCAATCCAAGATGAGGATTGACTTGAAAGTCTTTGGACATGTGAAGGGTGTATAATTAAATAATTTTGAAGGGTTGATTTGATTGAAATGGGTTGAATGATTTAATTTGACAAGTTTGTATGTTAAGGGTTGATTTGGTCAACCATAGTTGACTTGGTCAACCTGGTCAAACCAAAGAGTAAGTTTGGGTTCAATGTATTTCTAAATTCATTTAGGATCCATTGGAATGACATTAGGAGAAGATTTCAAAGGTGGATAAGTCAAATCAAGTTGAGTTTAGGCCAAAAGTCCAAAAATCTCCCTTTATGGGCATTTTGGTCTCAAGTAAATTATGGGTCAAATTGAATATAAAAAGATGTGGATTATTGCTTAACAAGTCAATATCAAGGTATTAGGAGTGATCAAAAGATTTGGAGGGGGCTCCATGTTGCAAACCTATGTTTTGATGATTGACAAACACTACTTCTCTTGGACTACTTGTTGCTTCTAACTTTTCAAGAATCGAAGATCGGACGATCAAGAAGAAGCCAAGTTCAGGATTGCGTAGGTTTAGGGTTGAGTCAGTCTGTACTTTTGTTTTTCACCCTTTGAGTCTACTTGTAATAGTCAAAGAGACTGATACTAAGTAACCCTACACACACACACACACACAATCCCTCCCTCCTAATAGGCCGGCCCACTCATGCATCCGCTCTCATTAATTTTAGCCATTATTACTCCCTTAGTAACTCCCCAAAACAATAAGTCCCATTCAAATTCAAATGGATTTGAGTGAATCTTCTCATTCTTCCTTAATGAAAATCACTGGCGATTTAGGGCCAAGCACATTAAAAACCCTTCCTCTAAAACGTCACTCTCCTGGAGTCGCTGCCAGCTAGGTCATCTCCCTTCCCTCTTTCCAAAACTGGATATCCAAACGCCTTTCATTCATACCGGAGATGATTACCGTCTCATCCCAAGATTTCCTTGCGCTGTGATTGAGAATTTCAGCAAATACTTCTTGCGTCCCGCTATGCATTAGAAATGCACACTTGCTGAGCTCACACACAAACTCTCACAGGGACAGCCGCATGTTTTGACACGTCGAATCTTGGATATTGTGCTGTCCAGTTATTTCTAGTCCACACACAATATGTTGGCGTTGTCCACAGTTGGTGCAGGGAGTTCCCAACTGTTGTCAAGACAGCTCGGCACATATCTAAGTAATACACCACCCAACTCTAATGGGAATTCTGGATTAGACGAAACTTGCTGTCGCAGAGTTCTCTGCAACTCAAGCTGCTTGCCACTCTGGCCGAGACTGCCGGTCCAGGAAATCGCTAAGGTGTTCTTTTGCACCAGCCATGTGAGGGTCACGCAGAGGCTGGTTTTGGAGGAATAGCCGTAATATCAAATAGCTGTCACACCGGATTGTCACCATCAAAAACCAACCACAACGGGACTAAGCAATACATCTGTCTGCTAATCGGGTGGAACTCACCTCACCAACGATCTTATGTTATGGTATCTTAGAGTTTTATTTTCGAATGTGGAGTTGTACTTGAACTCATGAAGATTATGCTTAAACCTTTTCTCCCACTAATTGCCTGGCGATATTAGAGTTGAGTGAGGTTGACACACACACAGTGATTAATCCTCACATTGTTAGTGGTTAATATGTTGTAGGAAGAATCACTCTCGCTCCATCGCACACTGAGTATAACATTGACTTTGAGCTATAATGTTATAAGTGATCCTTAAACTCTTACTGCTGTCAACTAGAAGCCATCGTTTTTACCGGGCTCAAAAGGTTTTTATTGTGTCAGTTTAATATTCACACACATCATCCGATATTAAATTTTCGATATTATAATCATGACGATATGAAAGTGTGGAAATTTAACTCTTAAAAGAGGCAACTTCATCCATTCAAATATAGATTTACACATCAAGATTACATTACTCACTAAAATCTAGAATTAGGAATGAACTCAAGGGGCGACTATATAGGACAAGCTCCACATGATATATTTATACAAGGTTTAGCTTTAACATGGAAGACTGTACTATGTTACTAATTAAATATCAAACAATAAAGGTAGACAAAAAGTCAATAACGCTTATCTATGTTTGCACATGCACTGCAGGTTTGTTATACTATAGACCACCATATTTCGCCTATATTCATCCTTGGAAGAGAATGCTAGGTAGATTCTGAATAAAAAAAATATATAATAGATATTGTCATAGTATTATTATTAGATATAAGTTATATAATTACTTTATATTATCCCATTCATAGACTAGGGATCCTCATACATCTGAGAGAGTCCATACTAACTCATAATATTATTATTTCTAACCAATTCAGTGTGAGCCATAAGGAAATATAAATAGATATTAGAGCAGAAAATAATATTTTATCAAATCAGATATATTAATTGAGATTTAAAAAAAATACAATATTAGAGTTTACCCTCCACTCTTTTCAGGGTGAAATTGGACAGCATGAACGTTTCCCCTTGATATAGAAGCAATAAAAGTATCACCATAATTACATGTTGATGAAACCCAATCTTTGTTAGCATCTGACTAGAATAAAATGGAATAAGTAAAACCACTTTCTTAACATAGCTACTACAAAATAAAATATAGAAGCATAAAAAACAAAATAATTCATAGAGCAAATGAGCATACAGGCAAAGCACGATAGGAATGAACGAAGTAGATATGTTGGCCTTCAATATCATGCAGAATTCCTGACTCCTTGGTTAGCTGCACACCATTCCACCCAATATGCGGTACTCTAAGGCCGTTCGATGAGTCAAAACGTCCAACCACACCAGGAATCAAGCCAAAGACCTTTTACTGCAGCCATAGGTTGTAACTGTTATATGCTCATATGTGAAGTCAAATAAAACACCGTGAAAATTTGCCACTGCAAAAACTTTATCACAAGTGAACAACAATCTCTTTTTAAACCATACCTAGCTACTAGTAGACCTATTGTGGATGGTTTTTTAAGGGCAAGGTAGAGTAATTATAGAAGAAGAATGTAGATGCTCCAATATGCACAATAGATGTCATCCCAATAAAATCTGAACACACTTCAAACACTAATGCTAAGAAAAAAGATTCTAAAGAAAATTAAAGGCCACCCTGTTAGTTCTTCAAAATATACAATGCAGGTAGGTGCATCTAAATTATGTATCTACCCTCCTACCATTTGCCAGTATTGGCAATCAACGCACCCATATGTTACCTGAGATAATTCAGATGCACTTCAAATGACATTATTTGTCTTCCTACTTCCTTCCTTATTTCTTTGGTTTTCTATCAGTCTGGGTTCAAGGAGCCAGGTTTGACTCCTTTTGTCGGTACCCAGAAGTTTAAGCTATAATAAACACAAAAATCGTGATTCTTTTAAGTGCCTCATTTGCTCTGCCGAATATCCCTTTCATTTGTAGGATAAAACCCAACTAGTTGATTCCGCTCACAGCTCACAGAACAGTTCCTTTCCAACCTTTCCTAGTTCAGCATTACTTCTGCCTACTGCAAAATGGCATCGTTGTTTTTCCAAAGA